TCTAATTTACTCTGAAAAAAAAAATGGAATGTGAACCATTTACCAATGAATATCCATTTTACTAAGTGTGTGAAGCAGAAAAATACTGCAAGTCACTTCAGGGGCCTTGGACACAGCTTTTTTAATTTTTTAATTTTTATTTTTGTTTTAACAGTGAAGTTTCTACTTTCTAGTTAAGTAACCAAATTACTTCTTACTGCTTACCAAACTTTGCTAAGGAGTGAGTTCATTTAGTCCCCAGCAAACTTTGGGATAGACCTCGGAGTTTCCCCTTTAGCGTCCAGGAGGAGCTGGCGAGTGTGGGATGGGAAGCGATTCCCCTTATGGTGACTCAGCAGTGACTCAGCTGCAGCCTCTGACCTGTCCCCCTGAACAGGTGTGTCCTACGTGCTGTAGTTTTATTCCTCCTCTCTTCCGGTGTCATCCTCTATTACTTTCAAAACAAGTGTGTGCTAAATTGTAGCAATATGAATCCCGCATCCACTGCACCTCCACAGTGAACAATAGGCAGAGGCAAGAGACGTCACCTGAGGTCAGGGATGGGAACCATCCCAGCCCAGGTGGCCACATCCCACTCACCCAGAAGGCAGGCCCAGCAGGTCCCAGCCATCCCCACCCAGGCAGCAGGCAGTGGCTGGTGTGACCCATGCCCCGCTAGAGCTCTTCCCTGGGATGCATAGCCCAAGACTATGCTGAGAATTTCACCATGCTCTATGAGTTATTAGCAGAAATTCCAAAATAGTCCAGTCATCATTGAGCTCAAGTAGGCTGTACCTGTGCGAGCTGGACTTTGCTCACAGTCCCCAGTTCCACTTGAGGAGCAGTATGTTCCCTTGCCACGGTGGTGAAGCCATCATCCTCATGCCACTGAGCTGAGGCTTGCCCGGTCGTCTCCTGGTCTGCTGCCTTCTCCCATGGGTTTTCAAGGGACATGCGGCCATGCCAACCGCTGTGAGGCATATTCACCTTGCCCTCCTCCTGCCCTTTTCTCTCTCCTGCCCTTTTCTTTCCTGCACTTTCTCACTCTCCCTTGCAGCCAGGGCCCTTGGGTTACCTGTCACTGCTGCTTCTGGGGCTTCTCCCACTCCTGGTCTAGGAGGCTCTACCCTGAGACCAGCACCACTTGGGATGCCCGCTCTCTCTGGATGAGGGTCTTTACCACAGGACCCTTTTGCCAGCAGCCCCTGAGGCTGTGTCTCAGGCACCTGGTTGCCAGCTGCCGGCCACATCTCCTTCATGCCCACTGTCTGTTCAGTGGGAGGAAACTTTTCTTCCTCGTAGAACACTGCTGATTAAAAAGCCAAAAAAGAAAACAATAGTGAACGGATAGAATTAAGAGGTTCAAAAATGGAGTGAGGATATCCTCCTGTCCAAGGGGAGTGTCGGGTCTCACTGGGAGCCCCGTGTCTATCTGGCCATGTGTGGTGGCTCATGCCTGTAATCCCAGCACTTTGGGAGGCCAAGGAGGGAGGATCACTTCAGCTCAGGAACTGGAGACCAGCCTGGGCAACATAGTGAGATCCTGTCCCTACAGAAAATTGTTTAAAAGGCTGGCCATGGTGGCTCACGCCTGTAATCCCAGCACTTTGGTAGGCCAAGGCGGGCAGATCACCTGATAGTGGGAGTTGGAGACCAGCCTGACCAACATGGAGAAACCCCATCTCTCCTAAAAATACAAAATTAGCCGGGCGTGGTGGCGCATGCCTATAATCCCAGCTACTTGGAAGGCTGAGGAAGGACAATCGCTTGAACCCGGGAGGCGGAGGTTGGGGTGAACCGAGATCATGCCATTGCACTCCAGCCTGGGCAATAAGAGCAAAACTCCAACTCAAAAAGAAAAAATTTT